TGTTGTTGTGTAAAATTGGAATTTTTATGTTATGTAATATTTCTTTTATATTGGTATTTTTAATTTCAATTTTTAAATTTTATTTTATATGCAAATATATAATTTATAAAAAAATATTTATGAGATATAAAATTGTTGTATTAGAATGATAAACATAAAAAATAAAGTAATTATTTATTAAATATATAATTGTAAAGACTTAAATGCGAATAAAAAACTGCAAATTCTTGTCGTGATTAATGAATGCCCCCTGAAGATACGGCGCTCCATGCTAAGGTGGAAGCAGAAAGCTGGAGGATCGCAAATCAATCCGAAGACAAGGGCAACATCACGGACGGGTGTTTGGATATCCAAAATTCCCAAATTTCTACCACCGATGTCATACGGACTCCGACTTGCTGGATTGATGCCTCGTGGATCATCCACGGTCCAGTCAATGGACTCGGTTGGAGCTACAAAGACGGCAGGGGAAAGGAGATATATGGACAACAAGGATGTCGAAAAAGCCTCTCAGCACTTCATACAGAGATGGATTGCCTCCTGTGGGCTATGTCTTGCTTGAGTGAGAGACATATCAGATCAGTTCACTTTCTGACCGACTGTTCAGATCTATTGAGTATGACGGACTCCCCTTCTGATTGGTCTTCCTTTGCGGCTGAAATTGATAATTTCCGCATTTTTCGTGAGAGCTTCTCGGAATTCAGTATCTCCCATATTCCCAGAAGTAAAAACTTCCGGGCAGATAGTCTTGTGAAAGGAGCCCGAGCAAGAGGATATCTATTCACCCACATCGATCATAACGAGTCAATTGAGGACGGCTTCCCTAGTCAACCTCGATTTGGCCAACAGTGATGTAATAGTTGGGTAGATGACAGACAAAAAAAAAAAACTGCAAATTTCAAATTTGAGGTTTTGAATAGTAAAAACTTATATTTGAGGTTTCATTATTCAAAATTTCAAAATTTGAGATTTTAACATTGTTTTTGAAATCAACAAAATTTCATATTTGAATATTTGAGGTTGTCTCTGGAAATACCCTAACAAATAAGTGGACATTGATTAATTACGACCAAAACATGTCGACTGTAATTTTGTATGCATATATAAAGGTAGATGTTTAATTTGATGAGTATTAAACTGAAATTAGCTCTTCAATTTTATCTTCACCTTTCAGCTTTCAATTCTGTATCAAAGGTACAGTTTTTTTTCCTATTTTTGCTTTGCTCCAATCGTATTAGACAATTTTTTGGCAATATAGTTTCTTCTCCTCAGCATCTCTCTGGAAATAAGAACGATTGAAGAAGAGCAAGGAAGGAGTTGATTCTGCAAAGTTGATCAGAAGAACTAATTATATTTCTCCATTTTAAATGCATAGTTCAAATTGTATATTATGCTATTTTAAAATACACAGTTAATTGCAATTCTTTTGTACTCCAACAGTATATTATTTTCCATTTTCTGTGCGTTTAGCATACGTTTAATTTTTATGAATAATCGAACAAACACTTGTACAAACATGAAAGTCCTTCTGCTTCTCCTACCATGGCCACCATAACCCCTGCCACCACCACCATCAATACAACACTGTTCTTTATAATCATCATTCTAAGTTTCTTATTTTGTGTGTATATGTTCATTAAGAAATTTGTATACACATGAAATTAGTGACTTGTGCGTAGTTGGTTCTTAAATTTATATATATATATATAGCTAGATATGGTCTTAGTTTTGACCCAAAAAAAGATATGGTCTTATGTTTGACCCAAAAAACCTCCTAATACCATTTACTTTGATGTGATGATCATAGTTTATCACAAATTTTAGCATTCTAATCCTCGTTGGCATTCCTCTACTTTCAATAATAGGAACAACTACAAGTAATACACGCATCTACACTCCATCAATCAGCCAAGTCACAGAAGCGGTAAAAATCATTCATTCACTGCTTTATATCTTTCTTATTTCTGGGTTATTTCCTCCCATGTGAGGTCCTCAAGTTTTATGCTCCACCTTCATTTCTTAGCCTGTAACAAGTTAGAATCAGTATATAAGTCTATGCTCCACGTGATCAGTTAAATATATGTCCACGAGTTATGAATATAGGTTCCAGTATCCTACTCTTGAAAAGTATAATATCTAGGAAAGACTTGAAATCTGGTTTGGCGAAATATTAAGAGCACAATGAGTATCCTGTACCTTAAGGCGAGAAGAACGGCGAGCAGAAGACGTGGGTGCAGGAGACGGGAGTGGTGAATCGCTAGATCTTTTGTGTCGCCGATTCAATTGAACCTTAGATCCTTTGTTCTCTGGAGTTGACATGCTTGTTTCAGTGATAGCTGGAGCTGAAGCAGATATGATAGATGTTTCCTGTTTCGGATTTTCTGAATTTGTTGGCAACTCTGAGAAGTCAAATAAAGACACGAGTCTCTGTCAGATTCAGCTTATATACATTGAAACTAGATGTCTGGTTTTTAGTGATAAAAGGGTCTAAACGATAAGAGTGAGAGTCAGGTTATTTACCAGAGAAGGTGGCTTTGAGAAACTTATCTCTCATTAGACGAACAAATCCGAAAAGGTCATTGGTTTTATTCAATTCTTGAACCCTCTCTTCGATACCATCTAATTGTGGGTTGCAATCCAATACTGCTAATCATATAAGACAAAGATTGTACACAGTTCATGTTACTAGACTCTTTGTAAACACTTAAATGTAGTTGATGCTTGCTTCATTAAGATAATATATACACTCACGTGTGTAGATGTCATTTCCATAGTGAACTGTGAATGAAAACTCGCGTGTATGCCTTTTTGCATCAATGTTGGTGAATGTGAATTTAACTCCTGTGAGAGAAGTAAAACCACAATATCTTCTATGGTCAAACTTTAATAATAAAGAGCTGTGATTGTTCCAAACTGAAAATTTTCTCCCATTACCATGTCCAGCTTCAACGTGAAAACCGAGAGCCTGATTATACCAAGAGATGGTTTCTTGTATATCCCCTTTCTCTTCTGTGACTTTACCAGTATTGTCCTTGGATACTGATAAGGCTTTATGGAAGAAAAGAAGAAAAAAAATATTAGATTGGACTTCAGTGACTCATGAGATCTCAAAAGTAAAACTGAAACAAGCAGAGTATTTTTTACATAGATCAACACTTTACAAAGTCTATTAGCAGCGTGTAGCTGACTCATAAAAACTATAATGTATAATACAGAGTGATGAAATCAGTCAGGCAAGCTAACAATACCTTGCAGTTATTGGGAGATAACTTTGGCATGTTCTTCCCTCTTTGACTTCTGTAACTGCAGAGTTCTTCTAAGCACTTCGATTCGAGATTGTGTTGCAGAAATGGAATCCCTTAACCCCACTTGCCTTGCCTCTTTACGTGTCTTTTCTAAACATCAAAATTTATATAAAAAAGATGGAAAGATATCCAAGCTAAGCAAAAAATGATACTATTCTCTAACAAGCAAAAATAACACCAAGCAAGGAGATACATTTTCAATGAGAATCTTATGTTGAAACATCTTAATTAAGAAACCGGAGAAGTATAGAATCCGAAGAATCCATAGCACGCAAGCACTTTAGAGCCTTAAGCAAAAATTCGTTTCCAGATTCAGAAAAAAATGTTCAAAGTTTAAAGCTTTTTGGGTGATGGAAGTGAAGCTGATACCTGCCAACACTTTAACGAGCTCATCCTCTGCATCTCTCAGCCGCGCTTTCATATTCGCTAGTTCCACTACAAAAATCAAAGACAAATATCACAGAAACCGCTCAATTTCACCACTCTGATTCTCATCAAAACCCTAATTTCACAGAGACAGAACCTAAACCCAATAAAATTACCAGAAATTAACGATTTGGGTCATAAGAAACTGAATCGTATTATGCGAATTTTGACCTAACCTTGGCTTTGTGCAGTGGCTTTAGCTCGCTCCAGTACAGAGTCCATCGATCTCTGGAACGGAGAAGCGATGAAAGAATCCATTTTAAGCCGCTGCTCATTCATATCTTTATCACACATGAGTCCCAGAGAGGCCATAGTAGTCTTCTTCGCTGTATCTCCACCACCGATTTCGCTAATCGATTCCATCGCCAAATACAGAGATATAGAGAGAGATTTAGCCCGCCATTTGATTCGAGTTTCGAAAAGCTTCACAACGCTTTTCCACGTGATGAGAACTTCATTGAGAAGAACTTGAAACGACATAGTTTTATCACTAAGCCGATATGTATTGGAAATTTGAAACTATTGGGGTTGTAGACTTTTTTGTTGGTTGTCTAGTTTTTCGTTTACTTAAAGTTGTTTTTTTTTTTTTTTTGGGTCGAAACCAAGAGTTTCCTGCAGAGTTTTGATTGCAGTTATATTTGGTTTATAAATTTTGTATAGGTCACTGGAATTTTTTTTTTTTCTGTTGTTGTCAAAAAATAATTTTTTTTCTTTCAATTAAAATTATTGTTTTTATCGTAAATTAAAAATAAACCATTAATCAAATAAAAATATCGTAAATATTTGCAAAAAAATAATTTAACATTTACTGTTGTCTCTCTTTACTTTTGGTTCTTGGTTATATTTTGATTATTTGTAAATTTTTATATTTAGTTTATTCAAGCAAAGCAAGCCATTTAACAATATATATATATGTATATATATATCTATATTTTTCTATTAATTGATTAACAATAGCTTGGTTTTAAGTTCAAAAGTCAATAACAGATTTATCCTCTAATTCCATGATTGTATGGAGCCTTCATCCTGTTGATAGCCAAAAAAACAACCATGTCAAACTATTTATTATAAAACAATTATGAAAAAGATACATACATATGTATTCATCAGAAAAAAGTAGGAAAAAAATTGAGGGTAAGAGTATATATATACTTGGAATGATGATTATTGGTATGTAGAAAATGAGGACATTTAAGTGAGATACAATTGGGGACGCAATTTGGATCAAGATTGGTCGAGCACACATCCTGACAACATCTCACACAATCTGCACCTGACTGAGTCATGACCTCTCCTATTAGGATTCCAACTAACACCATCATCATTATCACTTTCATCATCCCCATCTCTTCTTCTTCTTTTAATCTTTAATTTATTTTATGTGTTATAAACTTAGTAATACAGTGAATAATCCTTTATTTATAGTCGTATCTCGTAAAGCTCATAAGTATTTTGATACCAAATTGAATATTTTAAGAAGATAATATACCAACATTCAAACAATCTCTTGAAAATATAATAAAAGTACACTAGTAAAATTTTCAATGAATATTACAGTAAAATTTATAGAAAGAAATCAAATTGTAAATGTAAAACAAAAAACAAATCTAATTGATACTATGAGATCCGATACCTTAATGGACAAATGTCTTTCTAGGTTTGCGGTGGGCCAGGAACGTCTGCTGAGGCCCAAAGATTTATTTTAGCAGCTCACGAAGAGTTTAGTAAGCTATACGCTTATGGTGATGTCGTTTTGTGCAGAGCTCAGAGTTGACTGAACCTTGTGGATAAGGTTTGTTACGGAAGTTAGGAAGGTGTAACCTCCGGAGCTGAGCTGGATCTGCGGTGATACAAAACGATTATCAGGAAGGTTTTAGTGTGTAGATTCAAGAGTTCAGCTTATCTCTCTAGAGATCTCTGTTGTAACTTGTAATCGGATTACGCATCTAGTGGATAAACCTTGTGAGCAGGAAAGCTCACCAAGACGTACCTTGGTCATCTTGACCTTGGAAACTTGTAAATCTCCGTGTCTCGCGTTCTTCTTATGTTTCTTTCACTAACCTGCAAACACAACAAGTAACAACGTAATCAGATTAGTGCACGGGGAACAAGTCGAATCTGGTGAATCGTAGGTCGAAATCTTCTACAAATGGTATCAGAGCCTTAGGTTGAAGACGATCTAAGGTGTTCTTTCGGTTCAAGGTGGAGGAGATTCGAGGATCTGGTCTCAGCAGGTATCAGACTTTTCTACCTGGTCTCTGAGACTAAGCAATATCCTTTCGGATCTCGATTTTATAATCATCTGTTCATCGGAACTTGTTCTCGGTTGCTGTGTTGGATTTTCTGGTGGTTTTGTTCTTGATACTGGTGACCTTTTCTCTACAAGTTTAGGATCTATTGATTTTCTGTCTAGTTGCTGATCACCTCTGGTTGGAAGATTATGGAACCTACTCATGAAAATTTTGAGTTGAAAAGTTTGATGGCGAAGGAGACTATACCATTTGGAAGCATAGAGTGTTGGCTCAGTTTGAGATCTTTGGACTTGATTCAGTGTTGAACGTTGATGGTGAGACATCATCGTCTGTATCAGATGAGAAGGGAAAAACTACCGAAGGTGACATGAAAGAAGACCCGAAGGTGGATCCAAAGTTCCAAGAAAAGGATCGAAGAGTCAGGAATCTGCTGAGTATGAGTCTTACTGATATGGTGCTAAGGAAGGTTGGTTTGAAGCATAAGACTGCTCAATCGATGTGGGACTCTTTGGAGTCACAATACCAAGACAAGTCCTTTCCCAATAGATTCTATCTAAATCAGAGATTCTATAGCTTTAAGATGGAGGAAGATAAGAACTTAGACAAGAATCTTGATACCTTTAACAAGCTGGTATCAGATTTAGCATCTCTAGATGTGGAACTAAATGATGAGGACCAAGCCGTAATCCTTCTGAATGGCTTGCCCTCACAATTTGCTCAGTTGGTCCACACGTTGAAGTACAGGGGTGGACAACAGACTATTAATTACACTAAAAGAAATAACAACAGCTGCCTACTCACTAGAAACCGAGCTGAAACAGAAGGGAAGTTACTTGGCCAAGCCTAGCTCTGAGGGACTGTATGTTCAAGCTCCTGGAAAGACAGGGAAGAAGTTTAAGAACAACAGCGCAAAAGCGAAGAACAAGGCCAAAAGTAAGAAGGGATGCTGGATCTGTGGAAATGAAGGGCACTTCAAAAAGGACTGTCCCAGGAAAGGAAAATTTCAGAAGGGTCAGACCAGTGGAGAGGCTGGAGTTGCATCGGTTCAAAGTGATGAACCCGTGATGCTGTGCATCAAATCACTAACCGCTTCTGAGAAATATTCCAGAGATGGTTGGGTCCTAGATTCAGGTTGTTCATATGATTTAACATACAGGAAGGATCTTCTCTATGATGTTGAAGAAATCAATGGAGGCAGGATTTTGATGGGAAATGACACATTCTGTGAGATTACAGCTATTGGGAAACTTAAGCTGGTTAACTACAGCAATTCAACAGTTGTGTTAACAAATGCTCGGTACTCTCCGACTGCAAAGAGAAACTTAATTTCCCTTGGCCAACTTGAATCTATGGGATGTTGGTTCAGATCTAAGGATTTCAGACTTCAGGTATTCTATAAGGAGAAAGAGGTGTTAGCTGGAGATTACAAGGATACTCTATATTTGTACGATGGAAAACCCGAGGTTGAGCAAGTAAATGCAGCAGTGAGGTCAGAAGATATGACGTCGATATGGTATAGTAGGTTGGGACATCTTAATGAGAAGAGTTTACGACTTCTGGTTAAAAAGGAGCTAATAAAGTCGGAAGACATTAAAGAGTTGAAGAGGTGTGAATTCTGCATACTTGGAAAGTCTCATAAGATGCCATATCAGACAGGAAAGCATACATCTACGACCCCATTAGAGTATGTTCACTCTGATCTGTGGGGCTCCCCCAATGTTAACCCAAGTTTATCAAAGTGTCAATACTACATCTCGTTCGTAGATGACTACTCAAGAAAGGTTTGGCTTTACTTTCTCAGAACAAAGGATGAAGCATTCAAGAGGTTTATTGAATGGAAAGTTTTTGTTGAGAATCAAAGTGGAAGGAAGTTGAAAGCCCTACGAACTGATAATGGCCTAGAATATTGCAACAAGTTGTTCGACGAACACTGTAAGCAACATGGTATCGTAAGGCACAAAACCTGTCCCTACACTCCCCAACAAAATGGGGTTGCTGAAAGACTAAACCAAACAGTTTTGGAGAAAGTTAAAAGCCTGTTAAGTGAAACCGGATTAGGGGAAGCATTATGGGCAGAAGCAGCATCTACGGTTGCTTATATGATAAATATGTCACCATCTGCTCCATTAAAGTTTGAGGTTCCGGAACAGATTTGGACAGGTTTAAAACCGGACTACTCGCACTTAAGGAGATTTGGATGTCTAGCTTACTATCATGTGGATTCAGGGAAGCTAAAACCCAGAGCCAAGAAAGGGATTTTCGTAGGATACCTGCAGGGAGTTTAAGAGTATAGAATATGGAGTTATGAGGAAAGAAGGTGTGTGATTAGTCGAGATGTTACTTTCTGGGAGGATACTCTTTACAAGGATGCGATAAAAGTCACTAGTAATGCCAGTCATAAGTCTATCAGTGCAAACCGTAATGTATATGTGGAGATTTTTGAGGATAACAAAGTTGAAGAAGTGATGTCACATGAGGAAGAGTCTTCGAGTGAAGGTGGAGTCATCACGGAGGTGGTGGAGTTAAGTTGTTCTGATAACGACTCTGAAGAAGAGTCACCTGGGCTAACTAATTATCTCTTAGCCAGGGACAGAAAACGACGAGAAATCAAACCTCCAAGTCGCTATGATGATTCGGATGTAGCAGTCTATGCTCTTACTGTTGCAGAGCTTATGGAAGACAATGAACCAAGTTCCTTTAAAGAGGCAATGCATGGGAAAGATAAAGATAAGTGGAAAGGAGCTACTGATGAAGAAATGGTCTCTTTAGACAAGAATAGAACTTGGAAATTGATTGAAAGACCAGAAGGAGAAAGAACCATAGGCTGTAAATGGGTTTTCAAGCTCAAGCCAGGCATTCCAGGGGTTAAAGGTCCGAGGTATAAAGCTAGACTAGTTGCTAAAAGATATTCTCAGGTTGAAGGTATTGATTACCACGAAGTGTTTTCACCAGTTGTGAAACACACTACTATCAGACTGATGTTATCTATGGTGGTGAATATGGACTTTGAGCTGGAGCAATTAGATGTTAAAACGGCCTTTTTACATGGAAGTCTGGATGAGAGAATCTTAATGGAACAGCCGGAAGGTTACGAAAAAAGTAACAAGGCCTGTTTGTTGCAGAGGTCTCTTTACGGTCTAAAGCAATCCCCAAGGCAATGGAATCTACGTTTTGATCAGTTTATGATATCTCAAGGGTTTTACAGAAGCAAGTTCGATGCGTGCGTA